TGGGGCAGAATAAAGGACTCATTTCCCCCAAATGATACCTAAAACTGATTTTAAATGGATTCAGAAAAGATTTTTTTGTGGCATCTGTTTGTATGTATTTGTGTATGAAGGTATCTCGTATAAATCGAGTAGCTTCAAAATGTTGAAATTTTGTATATAGGTCCTTTATAGCATGTACTTGTGCACCTCCCTTTTTGGTGGCAATCGATCGCACCAAAAGTATATAAATATATATATAATTTATGTACTAAAGAAATATTGATTGTATTATATCTAATATAAATTTAGTAGAAGTATCAAAAAAGAGAGAACCCATATGTAGGAAGTTTAATTCCGAAAATCGTGTTTTAAAGTAACTTGAATGTAAATTATGAAAAAAACGTTTTGCGGGGACTTGAATTTAAATCATGAATAACAAAATTTCAAACTTTGAAAAAGAAATTAAAATTTAAAAACAAGTAATTATCGCTATTGATTCGGAAATTAGTTGACTTTTCAAGGGGAACAAACCAACTCCCGTTCAGTGAACAATAATTTAATAAATGCGAAGGTGTTTCGTCTTTTACTCAAGTAAGAATGATGATCCAAACTGGCAAATTAAGTTAGCCCAAAATTGTAGTTCCGTGAAGTGATGGGATTTATAACCAAAGTAGAATACCAAAGAACTCATTCTGAACTGAAGCATTTTCACTAATATACAAGATTCTCTTATAAATTTTGAGTGAAAAGCAATTCATGGAGTAAAATTTACAAAATACTTGAGTAAATGTCCCCCGACACCCTTCGCTTTTATGCATGTTAATTCAAGAATTATTTGTATAAAAATTAAACAGTTGGTAATCTTAATTGGAATTAGGAAATAGAACTCAAAGTAATTTAAATAAGCATGAGAAAATTAAGAAACATAACAATGCTATCTTTGCAAAAACAAATCAAATAAAAATTGAAACATATATATAATAAGAAAGTAAAATGTGAAATGTGTATGAAGATATAAAAGACCAGAAAATGCATTAATTTACTTACGTTCTTTCTAGTGGGATGCCGGTAAACTGTTTTCTTCTGAGTCTTACTCAGAAGGGGTGTGTGTCCGAAATTCTGTTATCCGCAGCGGAAATACTTTGAGTTATTACAGGCGGTGAAACTTTTGAGAAGCTATTTATGGGATGTGGATGGGACTAGGAATGTTTGAGAGCCATGTGTTGCGGAGTTCTTATGTGAGAGAAAACGTCTGTTAAAATTTTGGATAAGTAGTGAACGGAAATTAATTAATTTCTGGCTAATTGTCGTGCTGTGTCGTAACGAGGCAGAATATTAGAAAAGAAAAAAAGTAATTTTCACTGTCAACGAGCTATTTGACAGACTAAAGGGTATGAAATAGGCTCATTTTTTTAGTAACAGCTTAAGAAAAGTTTGAAAACAATTAGCTTTTTACATTATATACAATTTTGTAATTACATTATGTACAAATCCTCGTCATTCAACATTAAATATATATTTTTTAGATCATTCAACATTAAATATATATATATATACCCACTCTGTTACTCAGTTCAGTGAGCTCAGTTTATTTTATTCTTATATGTTGGTAAATTGTGCATTTTTTGCTTTAAAAGTGATTGATGATGTTTAACAATGTTTTTGCATGATGTTTGTGCATAAGAACAGAATAAAGGACTCTTATTCCCCAAACGAATCATAAAACTAATTCAAAATGGATTCAGAAGAGTTTTTTTTGTGGGGGGGGGCATCTGTTCGTACGTACTTATGTATGTAGGTATTTCGCATAACTCAAACACGAGTAGCCTCAGAATGTTTGAAATTTTGTATATAGGACTGCTATAACATGTAGATGTGCACCTGGTATTTTGTTTGCAATTGGCCATGCCAAAGGTATATAAATATATGTATATATATCCACTCTTTTACTCGGCTCGGTTTACTTTTGCTTGTTTTTGTGTAGAAACTGTAATTTTAATTGCAAAAAAATTCTTATTTAATTGTTTTAACTTTACTTGATGTTTTATGTTTTTCTATATCTTTCAATTTTAATGAAAATATTTTGAGTTTTTATGTATTTTTGCCTTGCTGCAAAGTGAGAACTGAATTAATTGAATGAGAAATATATCTCTAATGAAATTCGAGGAAATAAGTGTTTTGTATTAGCAGCAAATATTGCTGTCAGTCTGTTTCGGACAAAGGAGAATGTTTATGAGTAGTGCATGCACAGTAGGTAAGCGGCGCTGAATCATCTGTGAAAAACTTTTTCTTTTTTATTTCTTAAATTTCTTTTATACATCATTTTAGATTTATTATAGTACTTAAATAGAACATGTGCCAATGATTAGATAATTTTCCAGATGATATAATTTTTGCACATTCTGAGTTATAAAATAAATGAGATGTAATGCTGTTAGGTAAAACTAGCACCAGACTGTCACTGTGGTAAATAAATATATTGAATTTTAAGGAGTGTATTTATTCTATTGTGGTTTATGCATTTTCGACGCAGTAGATTTAATTCAGTGCAATAAGTTTAAATGAAATGCAGGAAAAGATGCATATGTACCAGTATGCCAGTACCTTTTTACTTGTGAGTTCTAGGTTTGCATTGTAGTTTTGACTTATACTGAATCACAATTTGGAGAGAAGAAAGTATTAAGTACAGTTTGGAGAAGAGAAAATATTAAGAGAAGCCAATGTAGAATTCTTGAAAAATTTAAGGAAGTCGTAGCATAGTGATTTGAGCAACATCTATCTGCAGTTATACTGGTTATGTACAATTTTAAATTTTCAGAAGCTTTGTGCAATATCCTAGATCCGTATATCAGGTTATTCATTCATTCAGTGCATGGTTATTCTTTCACTTGATGAACCACTTGACATCTTAAAGATATTTGAGTTATTTTTTGTTTTCTCAAAAATTAAACTGTTGATTGAATGGACTGAGAAACTGTATTTGAAAAACTTGCAAAATTACTTATAAAGAGTATGCTTATCCAAGATTCTTTTAAACAAGAAACATGAAAAATTCTGACGGATATGGTTTTTGCTTTATATTGAGATGAATAATGTTCTGTTCCCTGTAAAATTAATTTGTCTATAGTAGAATAAATTAGTCTGATTTTCTCAAAATTTTTAACATGTTCTAAGAATATGCTGGAAATGACGATTATGCTTGTGATTAGCAGAATTAAATAAATACAGTCAATAGTCGTTAATCCGGACTCGTCGGGACTTCGGCGATTCCGGATTATCAATTTTTCCTGATTATAGATCATCAGTTTAAATCTGGTAAGATGGCATGCAGAAATTACAAAATTAAGAATATGAAACCGTAATTTATGAAATAAAGAACAATTATGATCTAAAGGGTATCAAAATTTACAAAAAGAAAAAGCTTAATATTTATTTGTTTACTTTATTAAACATTTCCTTCAATGTAAGTTGCTTCGTTTCATGTGATAATACTTTCTCTTTAATTCTATTAAACAGACATAATTTCTTGTTTAGTTACAAAGTTCTGCTGTTCAAGTCCTATAATTGCTGTGTTGAGAATACCGACTAATTTGTCAATCGAAATGTTTTCATTTTCAATAACCTCTGGGTCACTTTCTTCACTATCGGAAGCGAATTATAATGACGAGGAACTTGATTTAAATCATATCAAAGACGGAGTTTATTGAGATGAAATACTACACTTAGTACGGAATTATAAAAACCAAATAAAATAAAAAACATCTGCTCTGAAGATAAGGATAGTGCTGACAGATCAACTTCCAATCCGCAGCGTGAAATTGATAAACAGATTTCGGATTTCAAAACATACTTTCGCTTTGTAGATACAAATTACATATTAGTAAATATATATTGGAAATTCTATTTGACATAATCTTTCTAATCTATCATAATCTAATAATGACGTTTCTGCCCCCCACTCTGCCGCAGAGCAGCGTGAAATTGATAAACAGATTTCGGATTTCAAAACATACTTTCGCTTTGTAGTAAATATATATCGGAAATTCTATTTGACATAATCGAAAGTTCAAGCTTACTTTTATAAAATTGCTCTAACAGTGTGCAAAAAATAATAAGCCGGATCCAATTCGAAGATTAAGGAACAACGCAATCTGCAACATTAACTGAATTAGATAACTTTAGCTTAGCGTATTACTCCGTTACACATTAAACGCGCATGCGCACAAACATATTCGCAGCTGTAAGGGTCTTATGCGCTCTCGTAAACGCCTGTGCGCATGCGCAGAAAGTTTGTAGCTTTGAGGTCCGGATTATAGATCATTCCGGATTATGGGTGTCCGAATTAACGACTTTTGACTGTATATATCAGTATGCTTCCTGGTGAGCTATATGTTTTAACTCTTTCATTACTGAATACGTATTTCTATGATAAACCAGTGTGAAATGAATTGTTTTTGATTCCCAAGAGATGATAGTTATGTACTTGTGAATTTTAAGTGTTCTAAGTTGTTAATTAGAACGAAATAAAATTATTGCTTATATGCTGTACAAAATCTGTAAATTTGCGTGTTCAGTATGCAAGTATGTATTTTACAAAATATATAAAATTACATATATTTTGTAAAATGCAAGAATATCAATGGCAAAGTTTTTATGTTAAGTCCTTAAAATCCATTTCCGTTACTTTCAATTTCCCTCTCTTTTTAAAATATACCACACTGAATTTTTTTTTTAAATAATCTTGCATTTTTAAGAATCTGGAGCATAAGTTTGTATTGTTTAACTCCCTGTATGTCATGACCACCTTTACCTGTTCATAAGATTTGAAAGTTTATGAAAACACAGCTTAAAGTAAGTAATTATACAAATTTAGCTAACAAACGCTGTTTAAGTATCATTTGTGAGCAGATCTCAGTCCCATGCTACTCAGAGAGTGAAATTAGATTTTTGATTTGAAGTTTTCTGTTTGTTTACAAGTTTGTATATATTTCTTATCTAAACTTTGAATATTTAATTTATAGATGCATGATGGGAAGCGCGTGTTAGAGTGTCTGAAGAAAGCTACCAATACTGCTAAGCAGTGTATGGATTCAAGTGTGCAAGCCCAACTTCTGGTTGAAATACTCAATCACTGTATCTATTTCCATGAGAAAAATAATGACCAAGTATGCCACATGTAAAATTTTGTAATGATTATTTTTTTCACTTTGTATCAGAAGCACTATTTTTTAACCATAGTCAGTTTTATTGCGATAAAATATTCCTAACATTGTAATTATGTACAAATTTTTCTTAACATCCAGTCATATCCATTTAGATGATGTATCTAAGGGGTGGTATATTCCGCTTTAAGCACTCGCTTTCCAAAGTAGCCTATTTGATACCATAAATTCTTCATATACACTCATGTCCATAAATTAAGGATAATGCAAAATCAGGCGAAGGAAGAGTTAGAAGCAAAACAAATTTGACTTATTTGTAAAGCTTATTTATTAAACAAAAGGTAAAGAGCAAAAATGATGCCATATGTTTGATATTATTAAAAAAATTAGTGAGTTTTTCTCCCTGGAGCAAATTAGAAAAAACACCTATTTACAAAAATTGAATATTACATGGTTGGTATGATTGTTAATACATTGTATGTCTCCCAGACGATGCAACACAGTCCGTTCAATGCCTAGGCATGCTGAGTATCAAATTATTGATCTGATCTTGGGGGATATTACACCACTCAAAAGGCAATGCTCTCCGAAGTTCCGGTAGACATGTAGGAGAAGGTTGACGGGCTGCAACTCATCGGCCAAGCATGTCCCACACGTGCTCTACTGTATTCAAGTCCGGTGCGAATGCTGACCAGTCCATACGGGTGATATCCTCCGATTGAAGGCATTCTCTTATGATGTTTGCATGGTGAGGATGGGCGTTGTCATCCATAAACACAAATTTTGCGCCCATGGCGCCCCGAAACAAATGTATATGTTGTTCCAGAATGACGTCCCAATAGATTTGGCTTGTCATGCTTCCAATTTGAACATGCAGCTCAGTTCTGGAACCCAGAATAATTCCACCCCAAACAAGCACTTCTGCACCACCGTAACGGTGTCGTTCAATGATGTTTTCTTGGTGGTAACGGGTACCTGGAGCTCTCCATATGAAAGTTCGGCGAGAATCAGACTGCAAGCTAAACCTGGACTCGTCGGAAAACATCACATCAAGCCCACTGTAACGCTGTCCACAGTGCATGCTCTCTACTCCAGGCTAACCACAGGCGACAGTGAGTTGCAGTAAGTGGAATGCATCTGACAGGTCTATGAGCATATAGACTAATCTGCCCTAAGCGTCTGTACACGGTCTGCCTTGAAATTGTCGTACCAGTGGCTGAAAAGAGCTGACGAGACAGGTCTGAGGCTGTGCTCCGCCTGTTTCTTTTGGCAGTAACTGCGAAATACCGGTCCTCATTCGGCATTGTTACTCTGGGATGACCTGTGCTGTAATGTCTACTCACATTACCATCATCTTGGAATCGTTGCCAAAGCCTAGAGATGACACTCTCGGCAATTCCAAGTTCGTCTGATACTTCCAGTTGGGTACGCCAACCTTCCAGACGGCCGATAATTCTACCACGTAAAAAATCATCCAAATGCGTCCTTTGTGTCATAACTGTTCCGTTATTGCACTGAAATGCTTATAAAGCGCCTGCGAACAATTTTACTTCTTTGCCTTTATTCCTTATATATCACTCTCCTACACTCTCGTCATTGTGACGTACCATCAGTGTCATCTGCTTACCCCTGAAATTTGCATATGATTCTTGAAGATGTGTGTAGAGATTTTACAGGTGATATATTTATTTTAGAGTTCGATTTCTGCGTGACTTCGAATTATCCTTAATTTATGGACATGAGTGTACTTTGCATGTATGAACCTAGTATTCAGTGTATCTGAACACTGAATAAGTCTTTCTCTTTTAACCAAGTGTTACGGGTTTAGCCCTGTAATTTAATGAACACCAGATTTTCGGAATTTAGAGAAGCACTGAGCAACAAAATTAAAAGATGAAAATATTTTTAGAATTTAGGGAAAGCACTGAGATCCACAATTTAGGGGCGGCAAAAATTTAGAACTTAGGGAGGAGCTTGGTAGCAGAATTTAGGACCCTCCGAGATTGCATCTGGCGGTGAGATATCTAGCGCCGGCCCTCGATAAGCCTTAAGTATATGTGGGAATTTATTTATTCAGGATTCAGATAAGCCTTAAGCATATGCAAGAAATAAACATAAGTATAATAAATAACTAATACAATTAGGCTTAATTGTAATAGAAGTAAGACAAAATTTAACGAAACAACTTGTCTTTAATCTCAATCTCATGATGCATAGCCAATAATGTATAGCGGACACTATTAAGCTAGGCTAAAATTATACTTTACTGATTGCAAGGAATTTCAGCCAATATAGCAGAGTGCACTGTTCCTTAACTTTCTGATTTGATTCAACTTAATTATTTTTTGCAGGATTTTTTAATTAAAGCAATTTGATGAAAATTAAAGTTTTAACTTTTGATCATGTTGAAAAGAGTTTCTAATTCTGGAACTGCACAAAGCAAAAGCATGTTTTGATTTCCATTAAACAAAAAGTTGAATTGCTGCAAAAAATTGATAAAGGTATATCCGTTTCAAAATTATGCAAAGCGTATGGCACTGGAAAGTCAACTGTATATAGCACAAGGAAAAACAGGAAAAGGAACTTTTTGAATTTTTTATTTATTTCAACACCCCACTTGCAATGAATAAACGATATTAAAAAACTGATTTTATTTTTCTATAGACTCATCAACAGGTTCTTTATCACAGTGCATTTTGCATATACAGTACAAAGTCCGTAATCCGGACGTCCATTATCTGGAATGATCTATAATCCGAACCTCAAAGACACAAACTTTTTTTTGGTATGCTTTACACATGCGCATTTAATGTATAACTGTTAGAGCAATTATATAAAAATTAAGCTTGAACTTTCGATTATGTCAAAAAGAGTTTCCATTTCTGGAGCTGCCAAAGAATCTACAAAGCAACAGCATGTTTCGATGTCCATCAAACAAAAAGTTGAATTGCTGCAAAAAATGAATAAAAGCATATCCGTCTCAAAATTATGCGAGCAGTATGACATTGGAAAGTCAACTGTATATGACATAAACAAAAAGAAAAAGGAACGTTTTGAATTTTTTGTGGATTCCGACACCCCACTTGCAATGAATAACAGAAAAAGGGTTCGTTATGCTAAAAGTGAAGATCATGACAAAGTGATAACTGAATGGATCAGACAGCATTGCAGTGAGGGCGTGCCATTGACTGGTCAAATCCTAATGGCTAAAATGGATAAAGGTATATCCATCTCAAAATTATACGAAGCATATGGCACTGGAAAGTCAACTGTATATGGCACAAGAAAACAGAAAAAGAAACTTTTTGAATTTTTTATTTATTCTGACACCCCGGTTAGAACGAATAACAGAAAAATTATTTGTTATGCTAAAAAGGAAGATCATGACAAAGTGATAACTGAATGGGTTAGACAGTGTCGCAATGAGGGCAAGCCATTGACGGGTCAAGTGCTAATGGCGCAAGCTAAAATGTTTCATTAAGACATGAACTTAAAAACTGAGTGCACATATTCGACAGGTTGGTTAACCAAATTTAAAAATTGCCATGGTGTAAGGCAGTTAAGAATTTAAGGTAAAAAGCTTCAGCTGATGCTGAAGTTGCTGTACTGTTTGCCAATGAATTCATTGAACTTATTAAAAGTTATCTCCAGAACAAATTTACAATGCTGATGAAATTATATATCATGCAAATAAAAGAACATGGATGACACAAGTTTTAATGAATGATTCTTTTGAAAATCTTTTCATACCTGAGGCTCGGTAGAATTCGGTTGGTGTACCTGATAATGCAAAAATTGTCCTGATTGTAGACAACTATTCGGCTCGTACTTAAAGTTTTAGTGAAAGATAATGTATACATATTATTCTTTCCTCCAAATTATACATCAATCATTCAGCGTATGAATATCTGAATAGTGTGCATGCTGAAATGCAATTATAAAGTAGAATTTTTAAAATCCATCTTAAATTTCTTGAATAATGGTAAGGCTATTCAAGAATTTTTGCAATATTTTAGCTTAAAATCTGCTGTGTGGAGCATCACAAGATTGTGGGAGGATGTGTCTCCAGAAAAAATGCTTAACATATGGTGTGGCCAACTAGTATATTTTATGGTGAGGTTAATGAAATGTGTATTGAAGGTAGCCGTGAATGGGAAGGTTTTCGAATATTGCAAACCAAAGGTTAAATTTTCCAAATAATGGATTTTTTAAAGAAATTTGGAGAAGCAGTTATAAATAAAGATGATTTAACAGAAATTTTTCATTGTGATGACAATGCCTTAATTTTCATTCAACTAACGGACTGCAAACTCTGTAGTATCTTTCTAGATCCAGAAATGATCTAATATTCGGAATGGCCGAAGTCCCTTCAAGTCCGAATCTTGGACTTTGTACTGTAGTTTTCATTTATGTTGTATATATGGTAAATGAAACTACTGTAGTTTTCATTTATGTTGTATATATGGTAAATGAAACTGAGAATGTAAAAAGATTATGACTTCTTTTAAGTGCATAAAGCAGTAATATAAATGCACTATACGCGTATGCTTTTTGATATGCTAATTTTGATCTTTATACTCAGCCTTACAGAAATAGTAAATCAACACAATTATTTTCTTTTATCAGTTTTCAAGAGGTAAAATTAATATATTGTGTGGCAGAATATGCAAGTAAATGCAGCTTTTATATGGGTAATGTTAAAAAGAGCACTAAAAATTATACTTTATCCGTCATTAAATGCTTTATCAATAAACTTAGAGTAAAACAGGTAATAATTTATGCTCATATGACTTCTTATCATTATATATATAGTCCTTTCTTACATTTATTCATTTGTTTATGTTGTTATATATCTCTTAAATATGAATTCATCAGTGTTTGTGCAATATTTTACTGTGCAATCTTTTTAAATCTCTGTTACAAGTAGACACTGGCTATCTAATGGCATGTTGCTCTTATAAGATTAATGTTTATTTTCTCTTTTTTTTTCCCTTTAAATGCTAACTGTAATTATATTCTGTTATGCAATATAAGAAATGTTAATCATAAGCTATTTTTCAAATGGTCTACAAGCATTTTCGAATTTTTGTAATACACCTGTTAATTAATCTTTCAGATTCAGAACTTGATGAATCATTTGCTGAGTGAAATAGGTGAACTGCTTCCAAATATAGAAATCAATGAAGAGACTGAACAAATAAACAAGCATTTCCAAAATACATTAGAGTACGTACAAGATACTAGGAAAAGTGTTGTGAAAGATACCTCATCAACTGAAGAAGCAGCTCTTTGCTGAAGAACTGTTTTCAAACATCTAACAGTTAGTAAACTTTCTTTGTATATTTCATAATTAATGATAAATTAAATGCTTTATTTTCCAACATTTTATGAATTTTGTTTCCACATAGAGGTGAAACAGAATGCAGACAATAATAATTGAAATTTTGCATTTAATCTGCAGTACGTCAATAAAACTATTACCGTAATTTCGCACGATAGTCCGCAGACACGATTTTATATAAAAAAATTTCAAAAATTGTCAGATAGTCCACACCACCGGATAGTCCGTGGACTATACGTCCGAAATTACGTTTTTTTAATATGGCAATATTCCCATGCTTTTTAAACAGATTCTTTGTTTGCGCCAATTTCTCACCGCTTTCTCGTCCACTTCAAAATAACGGGGTAAAATCCTAGTATACGGTGCAGCCTTGGCGAGACTTTGAAAATTATCGCCAACACCAAAAATGATCCAAAGAACGACTATATATATACCATAAACACATAGTACATATACTATATACATAGTATATACTATGTTTAACTATATATTTTCTTTGAATGACCCGTTAACTACTCATCGTATATGTCCCTCTGCTGCTCATCATAAAGTCGCTCTCATCATAAAGTCGCCAAAAGTAGCCAAATCCTGTGTGCACCGAATACTAGGTGTTTATGTACGCACTAATGTACACTAATCAAATCACGAATGTCGCTGCCTACGCATCTAACTATCTAACGACGTATCTAAATGCCACATCTAAATTTCTGCAAGCGATGGTTCAGATATAATTCTATGATCAAATACTCAATCTAGTTTTAAAAGATTTATTAAAATACTAAAATTAATCTAATTTAGAATCTAGAATCGAATCTAATCTAATGTTACATCTCAGGAGCAACGTTCTAGCTGCGTCATGACGAATCAAAAGTCAAGTTCTCACTGTTGCCATTCTGAGGCAGAGAAAAGTTTGTTTCTAATCAAACCGGAACTTTGGCATAGTGAAAGTTTCTAGTCAAACCGGAACATCCCAGCCCCCGTTGGACAATTGTCCAACATCATTTGGAAATGGGAGTGGGCTGATATTGGAGACGGCACGACGAAAGATTCCATCTGAAGTTCTGACGTCTACGACTCGTGCGAGGCCATCTGAACCAGGAAAGGTTTCCTCGATGCGAGCTAGTGTCCACTTCATGGGTGTCTTGTTTTTATCCTTTAACAAGACTAGTTGTCCTGCCTTGAGATTGGATCTCACTTGATTCCATTTTGAGCGGTTTTGCAAATGATTAAGATATTCCACGCTCCAATGGTTCCAGAAATAGCTCTAAGTTTTTGAATTAAAGTCCATCTAGAAGACAAGGTCAAAGAATCTACAGATCATTCGGTTCTGGTATCGACAAAAAGTGGAGCTCCTATTAGGAATGACCTGGAGTCAAAGGCTGAAGATCTGTTGGATCAGCCGAAATAGGTGATAGAGGTCGAGAGTTCAAGCAGGCTTCTACTTGTGTAATTAATGTATACAGCTCTTCAAAGTTTAAAATTGTGTTTTTCGCGACCTTTGTCAAATTTCTTTCATTGATTTTATATTAGCCTCCCATAACCCGCCAAAATGCGGGGAAGAAGGAGGAGGAAATACATCTCCATGTTATTACCTTCTTCGGAACTAACTAAAGCGCTGAATAGGGATCCGATCTACAAATTCTAAAGAGTTTTGTCAAGAATATTCTTTCGTTTCCTTTGAAGTTCGTAGCGTTATCACTCCAAACAATGGATGGTTTAGATCGTCTAGGCAATAAACCTTCTAAGACATGCTAAGAAAGCCTTCAGTAGACAAATCCGATACTACTTTAGAGTACTTTGTGTACTAAAGCAAATAAATATCGGCGATGTATGATTTAAACGTAACTCTAGATCTTTCAAATTAGGCTTGGTGATAACGGACCTGCAAAGTCCAGTCTATTTTTTCGAATGGTCTAGTTATTATAACTCTATCTCTAGGTAAGTCTCCCATCATTTGGTTTATGGTTTGGTTCCTTGTTCAAAAGCACGTCATGCATTTACTTATAACGCGTCTAACTCTATCTTGTCCGGAAGGTATCCAGTATAATTGTCTAATAAGAGAAAGTGTTGTTTGAATGCCCAAATGAAGAGATTTTTTATGATAATAATCTATGAGTAATTCAGTGAAATGATATCTTTTGGGTAAAAGAAGTTGATGTTTGTGGTCTTCTGAAAGATTAGAGTAATGTAGTCTCCCACCAACTCGTAAAAGTTCATCTTCATCCAGAAATACATTTAAGGATAAAAACCTACTATTACTTGGAACGATCGTTTCGACTGCAGGCACTTAATTCAGATTGAAATTCAGAATGTTGTACACATTTGACTAGCACTTTTGTTGCATTCTGTAATTCAGAAGCACTCAACTTTCTTTTTCTTAATGGTGGATGGTTGTTTTTACAGTTGTTCGCAAACCTTAAACACCACGCAGTAGTTCTAATCAATTTGCTGAATGATGAATACCTTTTCGAATTCGTTCTCAATGGAATTTCACCTGTGACTGTTGAGTTCACTACAGCTCCCCTTCGAAGTTCAAGCTCTCATTATCTTTGAAATCTCTTACCTGATTCTGCAAGTTTAGACCACGAATCGATGCTCTGTAATAGCCACTTAGGTCCATGCCACCACATATCACTATTTGTAGTTCAGATCACGTTATTCCTTTCGTGGAATTTGTCTTCGTTCCTCTGGTCAGCATATCAGCCGGATTTTCATCTCCAAGGCAATAATTCCAGGACTCAGGTGATGTTTTCGCTTGTATTTCCAATACTCGATTATGGATGAATGGCTTCCATTTATTTAAATTGCCCTTTATCCGATGTAACGTAACAGAAGAGTCTGACCAAAAATATATATTTATCTGGAGTCTTTTCTCTAACTGTTCTTTCACATTGGAGGCTAATCTTGCTCCGATGAGCGCCTCCATCAGCTCTAATAATGGAAGGGACAGCTTCTTCAGTGGAGCCACTCTGGTTTTGGAAATAACAATACTTCCTATTTCACTGTCCATCGTGACGTATCGCAGGTATAACACAGCTCCATATGCCTTTTGACTTGCATCGGTAAAGCAATGCATTTGAATATCTCTCAATTCAGACTTGTTAGTCTTTCGGAAGTAATGTCTCGGAATGTTTACATCCTGAATCGCTGACAGTTCATTAATCCATTTTTCATTCTGTTTTCAAAGTCCAATGGTAATGGATCATCCCAATCTACCCCAAGTTGCCAAATTTCCTGCATTAGTATTTTTGCCCTAATAGTGAATGGACTTACGAATCCAATGGGATCGTAAAGCTTTCCAATGGTTTTAAGAACTTCTCTTCTTGTCATTAACTTTGTTTCCCTTGATTAGTTAGATTTGTTGATTCTATCTTCAGAAGGTCTTCCTGTATAATTCCATTTATATCCCAATCCTTCGTTTCCAGAACTTTCTGGATTTCACCATTTTCGTATTCGTCAAAAACTTCCTGCAGAGATTCCACAATTTGTTTTTCCATTTTTCGCTTGTTGAAACCAGCAGCCTTCAAAATATCTAATATCTTCATATATGAGTTTGGTTCGTTTTCTTTCTCCCCACTTATTAAATCATCTACGTGTAAACATTCGTTCAATAGTTAACTGCTTTCTGATTTGTTTCTTTAAAGGTATTTATGTGATGTTGATAGTAGCGGGCAAGCAAAAATGGGCTGGATGTAGCTCTAACAAAACGCGAGTCTCCTAAGTATTTTCGTGTAGGTTTTCCCATCCTTATATGTAAGGTTATTTGCCCACAAAAATCTACAGCATCCCTCTCTTCAGGTGACAGAGAAATCTGGAGAAAGGCTTGTTCAATGTCGGCAGTAAATGCTATGCTGTGTGTACGAAATTGTATTAAATCTCTAACAATGGTGGATTTAAAAGGACGGAATAGAGACCATTTTTTAAGAGTATTCATTTTTCGAATGGCTGGATGCATCAAATACAACTCTCACGGTTTGTCGAATATCAGGTCGAATAACTGGCTGGTGAGGCATGTAATAAATTCTTCCTGTTTCTTCAACTTGGATCAATTTCCTCAGCTATACCCATTTTTAAATGCTGTTCTATAACTGAGTGATACTGCGATGAAGCATTGGATCATTTCTCAACCTTTTAACCAGTTATTAAAGCAAACTTCTGAATTTACGTAATTTGTTTTAATTCAGATGAATGTTTCATTCCAAGGGAGTTTAACCTCATATCGCTTTTTAAATTTGATAGTTCTGTTAAAATTCTCTAAAATGTCTTATCTATTTTATTTCCTTCCTTGTTCGTTCCCAATGTTTCCAAATTCCCAAAAATGCTTTAATGTGTTGAGACCAATTTGTCGTCAAACAATAATGTCCATGTTTAAAAATTCACCGTTTAGAATCAGTCCGGCCTTGAAGGCACCATCCAAATATTGTTAATACGTTAAGTCTACAGTTATTACTTCATGATAGTAATCTGCTCCGATCAAAACAGCAATATTTTATCACTGAATGACAAGAATCAGCTAATTGTAATCGTATTAACCTCTGTTAATTTTGAAACTGGGATATCATGGGAAAGGCAAATTAGTTGCACATATTTGGTTAGTTTCTAAGCTTCAATTCTATATTTAGGGATGGTTTACTTCTGTTTCTAGTTTGACTTTCACAACATTGTAAGTTGTTCTGTTGCCTGGTTAACCCCAAAGGCAATATGGACAAGTCTCCTTTCGAATAACAGGTAATTTACACTTCTCTGAAATGTCCCGAATTATAAAACTTCTCATCAATCCATGTCTAATAGAATACGAACTGGTTCTAAATTACTCCTTCTCAGAAACGGACGTATCATCACAGTACACGTTGTAGCAATGCACTGCGGAAGTTTTGGTTTTTAATTGACTAATTTGAACATCTTCTTACTGGATGGAATTGTCGACACGACCTTGTTTTTTTTCGATTTGGTTTCGAGTTGGAAACAAAATAGACCTATTGGTTTTTTGTTACATATTTTGCACATTTTTCTTTTCACAGCTTAATTTTATGCTGAGATTT